ATTTGTGCTTTCTGAATTAATTTGCGCAACAGAAACCGAATTGTTTTATCCAAAGCAAGCCCATGTACTTTACTCTCATACAATGTAAGCGTTGGCCATGAAAAATTTAACTGCTCGATTGAGTTTTGTGGCATTTGTGTTGCCAGTAGTGCCGTTAAGACAGTGAAACGAAAAACGCCGTATAACTACTGTCTGAAGGCCTCTCAGACAGTAAAGTACTTAGAGGATGACCAGAGGTTAATTTTCATTAGCCGTCTGGAAGAGTGCTGTAACCGGTCTTGCCTTCGTTGGACTTTCTTAGCCTTGATGCCCGGAGTCAGGGGTACGAGAGAAGCAGCGTTAAATGCTACAAAGTATTTGCTTTTAACAATCCATTGTTCGCATGAAAGGTTTTGGAGTTGTGGTTTTGGTTCTGCTTGTTTGTGAAAACTTGTTAATGTATTAAAAGAAATGATGAAGTTTCAGTGCGGGTAAAGTTGTCTGTGAATTGCACACGCTGACATTAATTGCTTCAAATGTCAGGTGCAGTTAAATGCTCCAGCCATGGGATCGTGCTGCGATCGCGTCGACGTGCATATTTCACCTTATCTGTTGCATACGAGGGGAAGTCGTTACACTCGTTGGTCATCCGATTTGCACCCGTATTACATCTGAAAGTTTTGAGAAGTTAGGAACATTATGGATGGATAGCATATGCAAGTCCGCGGCACTAGTAGAACTGCGTGTTAATTTGGTTTGCAGAAGTTGCCTAAGGTGACAAAAGAAGAAAGGTTAATGCGAGACCATTTAGTAGTGCAGCAAAGTAGTGCCATGACAACAAATTGGGCAACTCAAATTAAAAGTGGTTAAACAAGCGCAACACTAGTATGTAGTGGGAAATAACTTTGGAAGTGCTTTCAAACCGCTGCTCATTTTAGTGATACGTGTTGTTCACCATGACCACATTCGTCGTCTAATTGACACCGTTCGCCTTGTTCAGCATTAGAGATGGTATGAATGGCCATCAATCTCATTCCTTTTTTTACATTAATTTTCTATTTTTCTTAGTCCTTTAGCATTGCCATTATGGTAGGCTTTACTAGTGGAAAGATAATTCCGAAAGCGTTTCCAAATGAAACGGTAAGTACGCTTTCACGGATCACGGTGGTGTCCGCGTTACATTTGTTAGAGGGCGTTAATGCTTCATCGCACCTAGTACTTACAATTGGTTCTTACTCCTCTTCTACCAATTTCCTCGTACCATAAATAAAGTAAACCATCTCTGAAAACTGCAGTGATAAATCTTTGGGCATGGAAAGAAAGCACCAACTCAGCTGGGGAGCAATTGCACTTTAAAGGCTTAATTTGTTTATGGTTTAAAATTGGGTAAAAACACTTTTCAAAGTCCTATCTGAGGCAGAAAGCATTTCTAAATTCATCAGTAAAGAAGTTGTGCTAAAAAACATATTTTAAGTCAGGTTTGGGATTTATTTGGCAGGTTTTTGACACCCCCTTGTATCCATCACCATTCGGTTTTGCATTTAGCCACCTGATGAGTTACCCGGTGCTCCGTACTAGCGAGCAATAAGTGCTCTTTGCGTGGATAAATTGTTGTAGTAACTTGGTTTGCGTACGCCACTTGTAACTTACTCCACTCAAATGGATCAACTTCGTAGTGAGGCTGAATCTCAAAATGAGGCTGCGTTACCAGCCTAAAATATTGTGTACAATATATTAACCTGCAACTTCAAGTCAACAATTTAAATCGCCTGTCTCTATGTTATGGGTATCAGGAGGGCAGAAATGGGAAAGATGTGTGCTTGCCATGGATAACAGAATTGAGTTATTGCATTATCACTGAGGTTTCTCTATCGCATAACTATGTAAATGAAAGCGCCATAAAGAAGTTAAATTAACACCTATGAAGGCATCAGCCTATTATCGCGTGAACTACTACATTTATGTCCACTGCTACTGCTACTTTTAGTCTCACTTTAGTCATCAATGTTCTCACTTACTTTAAAAGACTAAACTCCTTCGTTCTAGCCACTGCCCAGACGAAAGCAAAGTACTGAAAATGCGCAGATCGAAGAAGAGGCATGAATGATTTGTTCTGGATCCAGTCTTCGAGGAGCGTTTTATTAGTACCGCGTCAATTTGATGAAATACGCGGAGCCATAAAATCGGTTGAGCAGATGAAAGTTTTGCAAACCTTCACAATGATGTTGGGTAGTGACCGAGCATTAACAATTTTTAGCCAAAACTTTTGTGCTTGTGTTTGAGTGATCCACATAAGATGCATTTTTTTCACCTAATCAGACTGCTTCTCGGTGAAATGCAATTTCATCGACCAATGATTTGCCAACTACTTCAGAGAAGTTTTGCTGACCAGCTTGTGTGCTATGCACTGTGCAGCAATGCATTTCTGGCTAGGCTACCGAAAGCCGACCTTACTGCACAGTCCGGGAGACAAAGTCTGAGGCTGTGGACGGTTGTCGCGCCTGAGCCCGACACGGACTTACGTCAGTGGATGCTACATTCGTTTCGGGAATGAGCGTAGTCGAGACGGTAATACGAAGAAGAAGCACCGTAGTGTCACTGTATGTACCGCCTCTATCATGTCGACGTTGATAAAAGGCGGTTGAAGATTAAACTGTTGTCATGGCAGCCAAACAAAAAACACATTTAACCTTTTGGCAACGCCCAAAATATTAATAGTAATAACAAGATCCTCTACATTAACCATTAGTAGCATTCCTAAGATTCTGACTATCCTCCGCTTTCTTGACACCACGTAAAAGCCTTAAATGTTTAACTTGGGATATTGTTTTACTATGATCCACCCAACAAAATGATGGCGACTACGACGCACTTGAGTAAAAAAACACGCGTTTGAAATAAAGCAAGTGTTACATTATGCACAATGGCAAGGCTATAAAAGCTATGATTCCTATTTCGCCATTAGTTACAATAAAAGAACGTACAAAAATTGCCGGATCAGTTAAAGAGATGATACTGGAAAATTAATATGAATGTCTTTAAATAAGAACGATGAAGGAGAAGGGTTCTTTACTTCCTAAAATTGCGAAATAATTGCGAGAATATGGCTAACATGGTCTTTCATAATCAGTTGAAACACGTTCAGTACAAGGCAGTCTTAGCAAAGCACAATAAGACCATAAGCAAAAGTTCATTTGTATTTTAGGATACGGAATTCTCGCGTTATCAAAAATGTC